ATGGTCGTTAAAGCATCAGCTTTCAGTGAATGACACATTCATCACTGCCCGGGTTAGGCCTTAATTTAAACAAATTAGTAATTAGGTGTTAATTCCGTGAGTGAAACACTGGTCGTAATTAACTAAAATCTTAACTTCGAAAATAAAATAAAACCTCTACTTAATGGATATACCGTGTTTCACTTTTGGAATTAAAACCAATTATACTTACAATTAACCGATTCGATTGTCGCGGGTCCACCGAGCTATTTCGCCCTGGCCTAACACCTACTATTCGACGACACCAGAGTTATTTCACCACTGGCTAATTACCGGGCTATTCCGCCCTCGACCTACGGTTTCGCGATGTATATGCGCGGATCCGAGAGCTATTCCGCCCTCGGCCTAACACCTAGTATTCGACGCTACCAGGGTTATTTCACCACTGGCTTATTTACCGGGCTATTCCGCCCTCGCCCTACCAGGGAGATGTTGCTAGCTATTCGCCCAGCAATCAAGTCCGACTGGCCCGTGTCCTGCGCCGCTTTTATAGGGGTCGCGACGCTAGCGCAGTACGTGGCCGCTCGGAGAACTAATGACTCTGCGCGGGCCATTTGAATTCGTACGAACGCTCGTTTTCTTATCTCGTGAAATTTTTACCGTTACAAATAATAATACATTCAACCAAAAACATAAAACAAAATATAGGTACATCGTTGATACAGAGTACAACAGACTAAAATGTACTTTGTGTGGACTAGCGCGCACCTGTTTTTCTATTTAGAAGAATTTGAGAAAGGATACAGAACTAGACTCGACCCAACCGGTAACGTACTTTGACATCTTGAGTCAAGGGAGTCGCTTCTGCCCAGAGAAGTTCATACCAGAGAAGTTCATACCAGACAGATATATTCCAAAAATCTCATTAGGAGATATCTTAAACCAAGATTTCTATTGAATTTATCATGCTCTGCTTGAAATTCCATTTTATGCTTCAGGAAATTCCGTACCGTTACTTTGGTATTATTCGGAGGCCACTTGTTTTCTAGAGGGATTTTTTTACCCAAGACAAAAAAAAACACATAATTAGAAAGAACATACTTTAATTAACTTACTGTCCAAATATGAAATGACTAGCTGTACCCGCGGGCTTTGCCCCGTTTAACTTCATACGTGAGCTCGTTCGCATGGCTCAATCACGTCCTGGTTGAAGTTCGTTCGCTACGCTCACTCACCTTTAGGTTGCAGCTCGTTCGCTGCGCTCACACGTCCTGGTTGAAGTTCGTTCGCTACGCTCACTCACCTTTACGGTTGGAGCTCGTTCGCTGCGCTCACTTGCCTTCAGGTTAGCTCGTTCGTTACGCTGCCTCGCCTCCGAGTTGAAGTTCGTTCGCTACGCTCACTCACCTTTTGGTTTCAAATTAGCTGTTGTCAAATATTTGAAAAAATAATAGTGCTGCACTCTGTTGGTAAACCTTGTAATTTTAATGCTATTGAACATCATAGAACAGAACCAACTTATTTAATTGAAACAGCTGTTATGATTCATTAATTCCATTTAAATATTAGTACTCATTAGGTTAACATGGGAAACTCCAGAGCCACTGGGGCGGAGCCCGAGAGTCCAATCAGAATAAAAACCACTTAGTTTTCCTATTTAATGCCTAAAGAATCAGTGTACCAAATTTCAGCCTCCTAGGTAAGTGGGAAGTGGGAGAATTATTGATGAGTGAGTGAGTCAGTCAGTCAGTCAGTCAGTCAGTCAGTCAGTGAGGGCTTTGCCTTTTATATATATAGATTGCAATTGCAATTAGCGATTTTTGAGTTCTGCCTCCCAGAAGGCAAGATTGAGTTGAATGCGTCACCGCCCCTAGCTGCCACACGAACTCCGCCGAGTAGATACTGAGTAAATACTGCGCGGTGCGCTGTAGCGGTTATGTTAGGTTGGGTTTCCTCGTTTCATTATGAATCTAACAATACAACATGAGTGACGATACCTGAGATACAGGCGGTGGTGACATGTGATGCGCGCGCTCCCGCCATTGGTCAACGACCTGACCTTGGCCTACTTGGAGGGGATTTGGCGATGGTATGTCTTATCTGGTATCATTCCATCCATAGCGAAACTAAGAAAGTTCTACAAACATATGTATGATAACCCAACCTAACATAACCGCCGCAGCACACTGTATAAGGGTGGCCTCCGGATAATATCAAAGTAGCCGTTTTTTAACTCTTGGTACAATGGGTTCGGGGTATTCCACTAATGTACTGTTGAAAATTGTATGAAATAATTGATTCATATTTAAAAGTATCTTTACTTACTAAACTAAATCTGTGTAAAACTTGTAAACAAATCAAATATAAACAATAACAATAATCACATAATAATGACATCTATATCTATCCATCTATCATCTACTAAATCTATCTATACTATTATAAAGAAGAGGTGGTGTTTGTGTGTTTGTAGGAGATAAACTATAAGCATAGATTCATCTATGCTATAAGCTACTGAACCGATTGGACTCAAATTGGACAAAAATCAAGCTACCGCTCCGAGGATTAGAACTACCCCCCACCTTCGATATTGAACTAGTATCTGCTCCACGGGCTTTCAAAATTGTGAGGTGAGGGATTTTTAACTTATTTAATACGCAAGCAGGTTTTTCTGTGACATTTACTCCTCCGAAACTGTATGTTTTTGGTGTCATTTGGAAAGAGCGTAACGTGAAGTTGTGCAGGGAACTTTCTTTTTAGGGAAATAATTAGGGTGAGGCCCTGGGGCCATTTACAGGTTCATATTTCTCCATAAGATTCATGGGAAACAGACATTGTTATGTAACTCCATCTGTTGTCAGAAATTAAAAATGAGAAGAAGAACATATGTTAATTGTAAACATTATGCAATTTACTCAACTATGTGGTAGGTTTATTTATGCAATTGATTATTGAAATGAAGAAAAATTCTATAACCTTAAGTTATAAAAATTATGTTATTGATATATTTTAATGTAAACAGTAGGGTAATTTGCAATGTAGGGCATACATTTTTGTAAAAATTTGATTGCTATTTGTTTGAAAATTCAATATCTACTTAACAAGTGTTTGGATTAGGCAGTATGGACTTTTGGTACATCTTCCCGTTTCGAATCACGGGCACAGCAGCTAGTTCCGTTTATTCACTAATTGTAAATAAATTATAACGTAAAGATATAATTGACCCCCCTGTATTCTGTTCCCTAATATTTCCTTTAAAGTTCCCAGTACTGACTGTTATCGGTTTGTTCATATTAAACAATCGGCCAAATACTTTGCACCAGGTGTCCACGTCTACATTTTACAACATGCATTTCGTTCACCTTTCCCAGTAATAATTCGTGGTTCGTTCCTTATTTTTTAATAATGAGGCATATTATTGTGCTATTGTTCTAAATACATACGAGAGATATTCAAAAAGGCAAAAAGAAAGAAAAAAGTGTTGAGGTAATAACAAGCCTATATTTTAATCAGGAAAGTGTTATCATCATGCCAAATTTCAGCCTAATCCCGATGTGCCCAATGAATTGTTATTGAGTGATTGAACCCCAAACAAACACACTAACATTCATTTGTAATATTAGTAAAGTAGCACTGTACTTCAACGTATGAATCAGGCCGTAACTTGAAATAAACGCTTAGGCCAGTTACATTTTTAACATCCAAATGTAATATTATTTCGCCAAACAGCGTTGATCAGTTATTAAACGGAGGATTGTGTTTTGTGAACACTACTCCTCCCTTATTTGTGGACAAATTTCAACGTTTAAGGTGTTGGTGTTAAAGGATTCGGACCAATTCGTAGTTTTGCATTAAGGTTTTAGAATTTAAAAGTTCCTACCCTTAAGGGCGTGAGACCCTTTCAAATGTCGGGTTTTCACCATGTTAATAATTGTATTACCTATCAATCTTTCTTCCAAAAATAAACTAAAATGTCCAGAAATGCTATTTAAGAGTTAGGTACATTAACTTTCTCTAAATTAACTGAATCAAAGTACAATATATTTAATGCTACGGAATATAAATCCAACCGATTTATTTATTGATAAATCAAACCGCGAAGTGGTGGGTTGTCGAGGTGGCACGTTGTCGCCTATGATCGAGGTGGCGCGTTGACGGCACCGAACACTGAGCGCACACGTCAACCCGCCACCTCGTAAAAGAGTGGTGGCGGGTTGACGGGGTGGCACGTTGTTGCCTACGTACGAGGTGGCGGGTTGCCGACATCGAACATGGAGCTTCACGACAACCCGCCACCTCTGATAAAAACTGGTGTTGGCGGGTTGTCGTGGTGACATGTTGTCGTGGTGGCTTATTGACTTGAGTGTGTACGACAACCCGCCACCTCGGAAAATTGTGTGGTGGTGGGTTGTCGTGGTGGCCTGTTGTCGAGGTGGCGGGTTGACCTGTACGTACACGTCAACCCACCATCTTGGTTTTTTTGTGGTGGCGGGTTGACGCCTCTGACCAAAACACCGAGGTGGCGGTTTGACGTGGTGGCGCATTGACAGCGACCCGGCCGACTCGGTACCGGCCAATAGCGTGTCAGCTTTACGAGTCGACTCGAGACGTTCCGAGTTCGTGTGAGTTCGGCATTCTCCGTACGAGTTCGTTAGTTTTGCGAGTCGGCCGACTCGGTACCGGCCAATAGCGTTGAATCTATGCGAGTTGACTCGTAAAGCTGTGACGCTATTGGCCGAAAGCGAGTGCGAGTAAACTCGAGTCAACTCGTTACGTCCCGAGTTCGTTAAGGTTCGGCTTTCTCCGTATGAGTTCGGTTTCTTGACTCGGCTTTTGCGAAACGGACTCGTAACGTTACGAGTTCGTGTAGCTTCGGCAATCTCCGTACGAGTTCGTAAAAGAACTCGAGTTGGAATTGAGTTGACTCGAGTTGACTCGACTCGGGTCTTGACTCGAGTCAACTCGACTCGCCAACTCAACTCGTCACATCACTACCGGACCGGCACCGGCGTAACCACTGTGCTATTAAGGGCCAAGGGGGTAACCTCCAAACCTCCTCTCCTGGAGCTCCTCTTACCTAACCTATAAATGAAATCGTGTATTCGTATGTTCATGTTGTCCGTTGTCTTTTGTCTTACTCAGTGTAGTTCTTTCTTTTCCTTGTATAGGCCTGGCCTTGGCCACAGATAATATAACATAACCCCAACTACTTGGCCTATGCCCAGCACAACAATGGCAACAGTTCATCATGTTCCCAACTTTATTCAGTTTTTATTTTCATCAAAACCCAAATTTGACTGTTATTTTGCAGTTAGGATAGAAGGCCAGAAAAACCCTGTAAGTGTAATTTTTCCATCAATTCTTTTGATTTTTCTCAGATATAAGTCCTAACTTGCATACTGAGGCATGCCCTGTGGTTGCAATACTCCCTGGTGTGGATTAGCGAGTGAGGATGAGTGAGTACTAGGACTATCCGCAGTACTATCCTGGATAGGCCTAATTGGAATTGGACCAACTCAGCCTATATAGGCCTACCTAAGGCAAAAATGTGGTTCGGATTCCACCACAGTTTCTTACTGGGCTAAGCTAATGTCGATTGAAACTATCGATTCGATAAGTAGCCTAAACATTCATGCGTTTTTTTCACCATCAGCAAGTTTGGTTGGTTAGGTTAGGTTATGATAGATAGGTTATTTTACAATAGATATATTTAATAATAGGCTACTGATTATTAATAAACATTTTCAATTCGATAGTTTCAATCAATAAGTAGTTAGCATAGCCCAGTTAAGAAACTGTACCCGAAACTGGTAAGTCCCTTTAGTTGTCATTAGCTGTATGGGCTATTATTTAACAGCTGTGTCTAAGGAATATATTGGCCTTAGTCACTAACAAGCCTACAAGATTGCGCCACTCACATCCCACACTTAGGGTTGTTGCGATATCAGCAATCTATCGATATTAGATATCAATAACGATTCCAGCCTCTAATATTGATATCACGATAATATCGGATACAAATATCGATAAGTTATCTTCAATATTGAATATCGATATTACTTTTGAGGAATCTACTTTTTAATGACTTGCTTGAGCTTGTTTAGGATTTTCGATTTTTTTAGGCGTTCTGTCAGGAAATCTTTTTTGGCATATAGGCTATTTTACATTCATTTTACTAGGCCTACTACCAGTTGATTGTTATTACTTTTTATTTATAAGGACTAACGAGGAAGTGAAATTTGAAATTAATAATAAAAATCTAAGTGATGAACATAGTTTTGGAGCTTTAAACACAGTGCATTTCAGAACCAGCCTAATTTTTTGGAGTTACAATGAAAACAATAATTACCCCATTTGCAACAATTTAAACAAGGTTAGCACTGGTGGACTTTAGTTTAGGCTATAACTTAATCATCGGCGCTTGAGCTCTGACAACTAACAAGTGACAGCTGACAGCGCAACCAACACTCCAGCAATAAAAATCAGTACTAACTTAGTTCCTTCTACCATTCCATTTTTTTTTTCATTTTGTTTTGTCATAAGAGCAAGAAGCTCCCTGACTGCAAACCCGGTACCTATAATTAAACATACCGGGCCCCATGATGTAGGCCGAAGCGTACGCACTGACCTTTGGCACACCATGGGTGGATGACTTTAGGTCATCAGGCTCACCGGCTGCCGAAGCAACCCTTCGGAGAGAGGGTTGCCCCTCAATCCTAACCAGGGATACCAGCTACTTGTTTAAGCGTCACTCCACTTGGGTTCCCCCAGGTACAAAACCCAGGAGGACCATAGTGGAATGCCCTGGCGCATTTAGTGCAAGCAACACTCGGGACCTATCCAATCCCTGACGGGCGGAACCCGCCATCAAAGCCAGGAAGAAGGGGACCACCAGCAAGCTGATGGGAGAACCCCAACCACCTATTTACACCACTACCCGATCGAGGCCTTACCCAGTTGCTGGTAAACCAGAGGTGACCAAGGCGATAGATCCCTGAACACCCCTAGCGGACTTGAACCCAGCACCCGATCTACTTCGTTTGCCCGTCAAGCCCAACATCACTGCCAGGCCATCAAGGTTTCCCAAAAGGAGGCAGGAATAGAAGTGGGTCCCACCCGGATGAACCTATCCACCATAGGTGGCGACACCCTTAGCTCAATTAAAGTTCCAGGGAGAACTCCCCAATCTAGATAACCATACCTTCCGGTCTCAGAGACAGGGATTGGCTGATGGAGTGCACCCAGCCGTTGCCCTTACACTGCGGAAAGTTACGCTCCCCTAGAGTGTCCCTGTGAGTTAACGGGTACTTGCCCAATTTCACCTCCAGGAAAGGCTACTTCCAAAGTCGAGGATTTGCCACACAGAATGTTGGTCGCACAAAGCAAGCAGGCCGAAGCCCAAAGAACCATAGTCACAGGTAGATGGGAGATTGATGGCGCACTTCCACCTCTCCGAGAGCTAAAACCCCACCAACCTGGATGGAGGAATGTCACTGGAGGCTCCCCCTAAGGGGCTGGCGCTTACCAGACGTCCATGACTATGGCCTACTTGAAAAGCCGATACCAACACCGAGCAGTTACCTCCCCTTTGGGGGCTAGGTTTTTCACCTCCCAGGACGAGGCTACTTCCAGAGCCGAGGATATGCCTCGCAAAATGTCAGTCGTACACAACAAGCAGGACGAGGACGAAGAACTCAAGTCACAACCACAGTTACAGGTAGGTGAGGAGAGGCGGCGAAAGCGGCATCACTGAGAGCTAAACACCCCACCACCTTGAATGGAGGAAATGTCACTGGAGGCTCCCCCTAAGGGGCTGGCGCTTACCATTCGTCCATAACTGTGACCTGCCTGTTCAGACACCGGGAAATTTCCTCCCCTCTGGAAGAGCTAGGGTCCGCGTGGTCGCTAGGCCACATACCCACGCCCCCTTGGCGGGCGTGGGCCCCTTGCGGGAAGTTCCTTCTACCACAAAAAATATAAGTAACTAGCTATTCGCATATTAGTGAGGATTTTATCTTGTATATAACTTAACTCGATAAGAAGGTATGCACGGCCATCTTTAACTACAGGCCGCGGCCTGGTAGAATTGGCAACGTTGCGTTTGTGATGATTCAGGCGGTGGATGACTTAGGATATCTGAATACCTACCGCTCACCCCATTGCGAGTCTGCTCGTGGCGTGCCTCAGGGGCCAGTCCTCGGTCCGGTGTTGTTCCTTGTCTTTGTGAATGATCTTTCATCAATTGTAAATTCTGGAAACATTTGTCTGTTTGCTGATGATACGTCGCTCTCGGTTTCTGATCAAAATTTCGACGAACTCGAAATAAAGGCCTTTTTGCAAGCGAGCTTCATGATGCAGGGGTTCGAGGACAACTCATTGAGTCTAAATGCCAGAAAAACTGAATTTGTAAATTTTTCTATAAGTTAAGCAGGGAAAAACAAAAACAATTTCCTTTTGAATGATTTTGAGCTCAAGGCAACTGATCAGGTTCTTAGGATTCAAGCTTGGGATTGGTGCTCGATAGAAACCTGTGCTTTCATTATCTTGACACTGTGTGTAGAAGGATTGCTTCGGGATCTTTCTTCTCTGCCAACTTTCTAAGTTTGCAAAATGTGATGTAGTGATGTTCTAATTTCAGCATATTATGGAGTGATTTTCCCACACCTGATATACGCAGTGGCGGTGTGAGTGTGGGAAAACGTCTTTCCTTTTCCGACTCCAGAAGAGGGCAGTTAGTCTTTGGTTTGAAAAGAAGAGCATCTTGCAGGCAATACTTTATTTAATCACACATTTTAACATTTCCCTCAATATACATTTTGGAAACTTTGATTCTCATTTAAAAAAAAACTTACACCAATACCAATCTTCACTTACACATTCCTATTCACTACGTAACAGTTCTCATCTTAAATTGCCACCTCATTCAACTACATTTTTCATGAGACACTTTCATTACAATGGCATTAAACTTTTTAACCTCCTCCCTCCCTCCCTTCAGCTGGAGTCGGACTTGAACAGCTTTAAAAAGCAAATCAAAAAGTAAATACTCTTAAGCCGCGGTCACACTAGGCTGTTTAACAGCCGCTACTAACTAGCTGCTGGCAATATCGCCAGCAGCCAGCTGGATCTGAAGGGTTCACATTTAAAACCTACTAGCCGCTAGTACAGTTGTTGCTGGTGACTTGAAAGCTGTGATGTAGTGTGTTCACCATGTCATCTGTTGGTGTGAGTCGTGACGTTTTGAGACGTCATCTGCTCCCGCACCACTCTTCATCGACTTTTTCATTTTATATACTTCATTGCGATACGTATCACCTAAACTTTTGATTTTTTTTTCAATGGGGCCAATTCAGCTTGTAGTCCTTGTTCTTCGAGTTTTTCGATTAACTTTTTGTAAGCCGAGTCCTTTGCATTTCTGTTATTATAGTCTGCAGTCGACGCGTCCCACAGACATGGATAATTTCAAAATGTATCTAGAAAGGTAATTATGTCTCTACCTGACCACTTGTTACTGTCAACCATGTTCACTAATCTCAAAAATACAAAGAAAATACAGTAGAACCCAACCAACACTGCAAAACAAACTGGATGCATATTAATTCACCAGCCGCTTGTTAGCTACTAGGGGTTCACATTGGCTGTCTGGCGCCAGCGAGGAGATCACGTGACTGCTAGCGGATGGTAGGCAGCGCTCAAAAGTTAAACATGTTCAACTTCTGTTTGTGGCTGGTAAACACCAGCCCGCTGGCATTTACCAGCCGCTAGTGCTGGGTCAGACTAGGCTGCTTGCTGGCAATATTCAGAAATATTAACAGCGGCTGTTTAGTAGCGGCTGCTAAACAGCCTAGTGTGACCGCGGCTTTAGCCAAGAGTTTTCGAGATTGTGTCGCTGATGGGCTTAGTTAGTTAGTTTCTTTTGTTGAAAGAAGTAATTTGTATAGTTTTATTGAAGCAACATTGTCTATTAAGTTTATTTTAATTTTAGTTCTACGCTATTAATTGACATGACCAATGCAAATTTTGTATTTGTTATTTTGGTTCAATGAGTTATGAGTTAAGTGGTGTGTACTATGGCCACTGGCATAGTACTTGAATTGTTTAGCTTTTTTGTTTTTACTCCACAATCTGACTTGGGTTTTGCTCCACTTCCCAACAGGAAGCTGTTCACGATTTTGCCGTGACCGCCGACGCTGTTCAATTCTATTCATTGTTCTTGATTTTACAGTGACGTTGGAATACGTTCATTATTACCTGTGACTACTTAAGTTGTTCTTGATCTAGCTGTAACCGCGGAAGATGTTTTTAAATTGTACTGTGACCTCAGAAAGTTGATTCCGCCGTGACCACGGATGATGATCTAAATTTCACCCTGATCGCAGACTAAAACATGGTTTTCCAGTGCATTTTTTAAATTCCTGCATAGTTCTCGATTCAACAAATTTACGCAAACTTCCCGGAATTCTCAGTCTGTATGGTCACCCTGGTTCTCATAGGGGGGGGGGGGCTCAAGCCCCCTCTTGCCGATATGGATGGACACCCATGATTATGTTCTTCTCTTTTTGATATTATTTTTTATCCAAGCTGTAATTTAGAAGTCCTTAAACTAGGGTTCAAAAGGCTGCCATTCTTTGGCCGTTTTGGTTGTTTTAGTCCTCTGGTATTAAAGGGTAATAGATCTGTTTGTGTACTTTTTCTGTGAATTCCTAGGCTATCTGTACTTTTGAGCTTTTTCTACTTATTGTTGTGTCTAGGAAATGCATTTTTTTCTGTTTCAATTTTGAACTTGATATTGTTATGTAACCTGTTAAACTTAGTTTTTTCAGGATTGGGTGTGTTCGCCTAATGAATGTTGAACACTAACCTGTAGCACAGGGCTGCCACCCGTCCCGATTCTGCCGGGACAGTCCCGATTTTGGTACCTTATGCCCGTATTTAAGCCTATGTTAATCCAGGAGGGAGGGGGCAATGTACCGATTTTTTCCTGACCTAAGGTGGCAACCCTGCCGTAGCAAGAGGCAGTTGACGATACATAGCTCAGTTGGTGATAGTCTCGGGTGTTACTTGTTTTGGGTATTTATCCTTAACATACCTATATTAATATAGGTAATAATACATGTAATAAGTTAATAGATCCTGTTCAGAAACACACTAGGCCTATGTAAACCAGTGTTATGCTTGTACTGTCAAAAATACCAAACTACAACTCTTATTTACTAATTAATTGCACATTACCAATGTCAAATTTACCTTTTTTAAGGAAAGGATTGGAGCTGTCAAGTTGATGTTGATGGCTCACAGCGAAGTTTTCAGACTAGAATTAGAGGACAGTGAATTGGCTGAGAAGAAAGATGTTCCTATCAAAGACATTCATCCTGACACCTTCAAAGAAATGTTGAGGTGAGTTTCTTGAACTTATTTGAAAGAACATATTCCATGTCCATCCATCCACATCACCAGGGGTCTTAGGGAGGAGGGGGTGTCAAGGAGGCTGCGACCCCTCCAAAATCCATTTTTTACAGATGAACGTTCCACCAAATTCATCAGAGTCTATAGGCTACACTATTGACAAACGGGAGGAATGAATACAAACTCTAACCTTAAACTTGGTTTATTCAGCATTGCCTCCAGGATTGAAGACAATATAAAATAAGTTACGTACCTTTATGTCGTCAATCCAAGGTTAGTCTTTTTAGCGACTAGTTTCGAAACTGACGTTTCATTTTCAAGCAGAAAAAACTTTTATGAGCACAAATAACTTGGATAAAAAATGAAATTAAATTCCTTTACAAAAAGAAAGACTATTTAGCACTACTTTTGAGATCTTTGACTACATAGTCAATGGTTTTATGATCTGCTAATATTAAAAGTAAGTTACACACAATTTCAACTTATTTCAGATATGTTTATGGTTATGATACTACTGCTACAATGGGTTTTGATGAGGCTGATGATTTACTGTATGTTGCGGAGAAGTATTTGATGAAACCTTTGAAAGACAGCCTGGCTGCTAGACTGATGACTCTTTTGAACAAAGACAACATTTGTTCCTTGATGAATAACCCTGCGTGTTACACTCATCTGGAGTTGGACTCTGCCATTACCAAGGTTAGTTTGAGTGTTTTACTAGACTGCAACGCTTTTGAACAAAGACAACATATGTTCCCTAAAGAATAACCCTATCTTTTACACTCATCTGGAGTTGGACTCTGCCATTACCAAGGTTAGTTTGAGTGTTACAAGCAGCCCTCCTCAAACCAACAAACCCCGCTGCCAACAGTACCTACGTAGAAATTAAAAATTAGATGCTGTGAAGTATGCCTGAAGCAGCTGAACGCATATATTGTCTTGGTTGCAACAGAGCTTTTTGTTCATTTTAGCAAATTTCCCATATAGGGAATAAGCTATACCGTAGTACTCATGGTAAGACCTGGACCTGTTACCAATTAACTCTTTCGTTTTACGGTCCCTAGAGGCCAAAATCACCATCCGTCCAAATTCATATATATATATATATATATATACTAGCTGACCCGGCGAACTTCGTATCGCCTAAGTTATAGGTTTCCCCTAAGACAGACCGATGGAAAGAAAGTACCGTTACGTTTAATTTTCAAGATGATCTCGTTTGCATCGCTCAATCACGTCCTGGTTGAAGTTCGTTCGCTACGCTCACTCACCTTTGGGTTGGAGCTCGTTCGCTACGCTCACTCACCTTTAGGTTGGAGCTCGTTCGCTGCGCTCACTTGCCTTCAGGTTAGCTCGTTCGCTACGCTAACTCGCCTCCAGGTTGAAGTTCGTTCGCTACGCTCACTCACCTTTTGGTTGCAAATTAGCTGTTGTCATAAATGTAAAAGAAATAATAGTGCTGCACCCTGTTGGTAATCCTTGTAACTTTAATGCTATTGAACATCATAGAACAGAACCAACTTGTTTAATTGAAACAGCTGTTAAGATTCATTAATTCCATTTCTCATAAGGTTAACATGGGAAACTCCAGAGCCACTGGGGCGGAGCCCTTTTAAGAATTTTGAAACGGGAAATAGTTTACGTCTGATTCGCATACCTACAGAATTTACACACCAAATTTCATAACGATCGGTGAAGTCGTTCCGGAGGAGTTTGCAGACAAACACTGTGACACGAGAATTTTATATATTAGATATATATATATATATATATCCTACTAATAATATAAATGAGAAAGTTTGGATGTATGTTTGTGACAAGTAAACGCGAAAAATACTGGTCGGATCGGGCTGACATTTGGTGTGATGATAACTCACATTCCAGATTAAAATATATACGCATTCTTTTCTCAAAAGTTCTTTCGGGCTCTGCCCCAGTGGCTCTGGAGTTTCCCATGTTAACCTTATGAGTAATCATATTTAAAAGGAATAAAAGAATTTTGTCAGCTGTTTCAACTGCACAATTTGGTTCTATGATAATAAATAGCGTAAAAAAATTATAAGGTTTACCAACAGGGTGCAGCACTATTAAACTTTTTTAAAATTTGAACCAACTAGCAACAAAAAGCTGTGATATACAATGAAAACATTACTTTATCTATTGTTTAGTTGCAGTGGTAGAACATTATGGCTAGAGTAGATGTGCTATGCTATACTATAGCTTACCGTAAATTAAAAGAACCAAATTTTCTTGAACCATGTCCTCTCCCATTGCAAACGCAAAGCCAAGTAATTATACTTATACTTATGCCAAGCATTTTATACTTATACGCCAACGCCGTACAAAGAACGGGTACTGTGCTAGTATATATATATATGTGTCTGTTAACCCATTAACTTGAGCAAAAATTATCCGATTTTTATGAAATTTGGTATAAACGTGTAAACCTACATTTATTTGAACGAGTTCGCGAACCAGCATGATCGGACTATGGGAAAGACGGTTTATGGGGTAAAAATTGGTTTTACCATTTTTTACCCAAAAATAAAATAAAATTTTTCAATTTCTTTTCAAACTATTTTGTAGAGCTTAAGAAAACAAATAATTTATTATATTGAAGCGTTATTATGATCCTAATGGTTACGTTTACGTAGAAATTTCCAAAAAATTGTAAATTTAAAATTCCCATGTTACAATAAGGAAACTGTTATAGCTTGCTTGTTTATGAACGTATTTTAATTAAATTTGGAAAATGGATTTATTTCTTACTAAACTATTCACATTCTAAAAAAAACAAAAAAAAACACACTTTTAAACCTCCCTGTTGCAGCAAACCTTAGTCCTCGTTAAATTAATTATATTTAAATAAGCAATGAATGTGATATTTTAAAGGAGACATTCCAATCAGGGAAATGGAAATATGCTTAGTCTACAGGTTTGCTCAGCGGGGGTATTCAGGTTACGGCACGATCTCCTAGATGTTGAGTCCTTGAAGTTTCCCCACATTGAATTACCACTACAAGCGTATTTGAAGAAGTAAGAGATACAGGAACACACACACAATAAAACCAAACATCACTGCAAAGTCTGAAACTGCTGTAATGCAGGAGCAATATTTCCTTCAGCCTTCTGATGCAGACCAGGTCTACTAACCCTGGCATATAAGTAGCCTATTTTTGTCATAGCCATGAAATTAAAATAACTAAACGAATTATTTAATTTTTAGCAACTGCTAAAATTATAAGCAACAATGGGAAAATTATCTGGGAATTTGTCCCTATGCAACACTAATTTGTATGACTTAGCAATTTTATATTACAGAAAATTCTTTACAACCGAAATACTATTCTATCTCATAGTTTGCAGATCTACCGATAGTCCCTGTAAAATAGAGCTGCTTTGTCCGATGGATTAAATAAATATAGGCCTAAATATATTCTCACCTATGATAGGTAAAGTAACAACTTTTTGTAACTTATCTTAGATGATAAAAAAATTTAAATATTGTTTATACATTTTTTGTGAACTAATGCACAGTTTGTTCTTTGATAGATTTTGAGGTTTGAGACGGATCAAGTGTTAGCAAGCCCAGATTTTTTGTCCATGAATTCTGACGGGTTTCTCAAGATTTTGGAACAGGATGAACTTGCAGTTCCCGAAATAGAATTGTGGAGAGCAGCGATTAAATGGGGAAAACACAGAGGTAAGATTTTGATCTTTACTTTAAATGCACACCTAAGCCGAGTCTGAGTACACAACCAAATAATGAATTATCTGAAGGACTTGACCTTGTTTGGAATACTCAATTGTTTAGATTAGCCGTATGTGCATTCAAATTACATCACACAATTAGAACAAATGTATCATTATGACTGTACAGTAATGATGCGTTTTTTATTTATAGTAGACTCCCGATTATCCGAGGTAATTAGGACCGGGACTACTTCGGATAACTGGAAAACTCGGATAATACGGAGGTTAAGTACAGTTATAGTAAAAAAGACGTATAACACAGTGAAAGTTTACAAAACTGGTATATTAAAAGAAAGAACATATAATAGACACAATTTAATAGCTGTAAGCAAGTATGAACACAGATTATTTCTTTAAAAAGACTTCGATCGTCTTCTGAGCTAACCTCACATTAAATTTGGTTTCAAGAGAAACTGCAACTCTTTTCCGTTTCCCACACACAGCAACAATAAAAATCAACAACAAATGATGAATATTCGGTAACAGTAAAAGTCAACAATAACGATAAAAAATCAATTAAAATGGCATAAATAAACACAACCGCGATTAGCACGAGAACAATTAACATCAACCACGTTCAGCGCGAGTTCAGAGCTACTAAACTGGGACTCAGGACTCAGAGGGACTAAAAGTGTCAGGTCCAGGTGGATAGGGAAATACGCAGGTTTCCAGTGCACCGATAATTCATAGAATACTCGACCTAGCAACAGCCAGTAAAGATCTTAGGTGCAACTAATCTTAGTAGCAACACTAAATAAACAGGCCGTAAGGCTCCTCAGACATGACGACTTCATAGGCAATAAAATGATATTTTTTAGTTAGGCTACATTTTTGTTTTCCAAGGAAAGATTTAAACACCCAGCTGATTGCAAATGGCAAAAATTACATCATTGCCGTCACCTACGATGCTATTTTATAGTTTTATTTTTGTTTTCCATGAAACGATTAAAACAAGCAGCTGATCATATACGGCAAAAATTACGCCTACGATGACGTCATGCTTAAGGAGCATTACAACCTGTTCATTTAGTAGAGGTGTGCAGATATCCGAAAAATCGGGTCGGATTCAGTTCTGTTCGGATATCCGTATCCGAACCGAGCCTAAATTTGATATCCGACACAATCCATTATTTATCCGACTTTTTCGGATAGACAACATATTTTGACGTTTTTGACAGAAATCTAAATCTCCATAACCATCATTAGTTTCCCAGGACAAAATTACAGCATTACGTTTCCAACGACAACATAACAGCAAAGGACAAAGAAGCCGTATGATGCAAACCTATGTCTAGTTTATAGTTGTTATCAACGTCGTTATCGGCTGTTTTGCTTTACAATTAGATTCGTCTGGAACGAACAGATAAACAGAAAAGAACTACCATGGTCAACTCGTGCTTGTCTCCTGATACTAGGGGCGCTATGTGTAATAGTTTTATTTTACAGTACTGTTTTAAAGTATAAAAATCTAGTGTACTTCTGTGCTGTTACGTAAACAATAGATTTAATGTTTCCCGAAAAAAATCAGAATAGAAACAATAGAAAGGCAACACAATAGAAGAGTGAGAGGGGTTGGGCAATGACCTCGAAAGGAGCCCGGGTAACAGGTAGCAACAGTGAGTCGAGTTGGCCTTGAGGGGGGAAGGGGTGGGTACGACCTTGAAGCTATATATAGACTTGCACTACTTCCCTAAATCTAAGGGACTGGCAAGTGGTATTCCAATCACAGGACAAGATATGTTGTTTATCGGGTATTCATTGCCCGGTTTCACTTTGGATTGTCTTATTGTGTAGAAACTTTGAATAATCAAAAATAAAATTAGAACTAACCACGATTATTTAGCATTTATTGTCTATATTAAATGATTAAATGATAGGGACCGGGGGAGATATACAAACTTTTGTCATGATTAGAATTTCAACATCAAAATACAATATTGCATAATCATGATATTTTAGGTCATTGACCTTTAATATGCATCCGGTATTGCTCTTTCAAAAGAGAAGCACGTTAATAAATTGTAAATTGATATCCCGTGGTAAAAAAAAAAAATTATAAACCTATAAAACAAAATCGTAAAATCCTACATAAAGATAATAACAAGAACAGCAATAATTGTAAAAAGGGTATAAAGATAACAACGTCATTATACTTTCTCTTTGTTCTCCTATTTCTTGGGTTTCCCTTCATCACGCATTCAATAACTTTCCTAGTTGCCATGGTTACAAATCACCCATTATCAGCTTTTGTGACATTTATAGTTATTATTTTTTTTATGACTGGCTCGGTTACCCGAGACTCAGATAACCGGGAGTTTACAGTACAGTAACCTTTCTCCCCAACAGTTAGTTTGTTTTGGTGAGACTCTTGTGTTTTAAATGGTTTTAATGAATTCCACCTTTTATCCCAAGCATATTTCAAGAAATTATCCAAAGCCTTCTAATCTCTCCCATTTAAATAACCTAAGAGAAACAGAATAGCTTAATGCAATTCAAATTAAAAATTCAAATAATCTTAATTTGTTTGAAGTATACAATACATGCATAAATAGTGTCAGGTAGTACAGGTACCGTATTGAAAAATGAAAAACAAAAGTTTCTTAGAATTAACAATGCAAAAATTCTTCCTACTTCCTACAACTCATTGAAAGAATAAATAGGTAGCTTTGTTGATGAGGTACTGCTTCAATTCTTAGTAGTTGCGCGATAAAGAGATGATATCACTGAATGGATGTAAGAGAAATAAACAACTTCTTTTTCACAAAAATATTTCAGCCTAACCAATGCGTAAAGGCCAGAAGAAATTTTTGCGATCAATTGTTCAACATGACGGTTCCATTTAAGTGTACTTTCTAATCCTAAAAATTTTATGCTGTCTTTGACTTCAATTTTTTTATCAAATATGGTAACATTAGGTTGAGTTATATTTTGAGCTGATCGAGTTTTAAAACAAATAATATTAGTTTTATCAGGATTTAAAAGCAAATTGTTGGCATTAAAAAAATTGTTTAAGAGAGTTAGGTTAGAATTAATTTTAATTTATAATTCAGCAACGGTTGATGCAGTGATTTTCAAATTGGTGCCATCAAACAAAGTGTCATCAGACAAAGTTTACTGAAATCAGAAAGCTGAGGGAAGTTTCTTAAATAGCAAATAAATAAAAGGGGACCTAAAATGGATCCCTGTGGCACCCCATATTTAACTGCTGTAATAGCGGAACGATAAGGGATTTTATAATTTTTGTTGTTATGATAAATAATTTTGACAAACCGTTTTCTATCGTGAAGGTAAGATTTTAGCCAGTTTAAAGTATTGTATTTAATTCTTAATTTACTCAATTTCAAAATTAATAAATCATGTGATATTGAATCAAAGGCTTTGCTAATGTCCATGAATAGACCCGCAACTTTACCTTTGTTGTCTAGACTATCTATAACAGATTCTCAATGAAGTCTGTGGCAGCTGTAATAACTCAAATCAAATCAAATCAAATCAAAATGTCTTCATTTCGTATAAAATAATGATTTTTACAGTTTTTACAAAATATCATATTACCATAAGAATATAACTGAGTAACTTAAACTATACGAAATTAATCCCACATGGGAGAACCCGTGCATGGGAGTGAGTCATTTTACATAACAGATCGACCATAGCGGAAGCCATGTTGACAGTCCTCAAATAGATGATTTTTTCCAAAAAAATTACCAGTTGGTTATAAACTAATTTTTCATAAATTTTTGAGATAGATGGTAACAATGCTATAGGGCGATAGTTTGATACAATTTTCTTGTCTCCTTTTTTGAAGAGTGGTTTTAATTTTTTAATCTTAATTTTGTGGGGAAAAATACCTGAAATTAAGGAAGAATTTATAAGGTGAGTAATAGGTTTTAGTAAGACTGATTTAGCTTTTTTTAGAAGTACCGCAGGGACATCATCATACTCCATATGAAAGAATGTTTTAGGCTGCAGATAATAACATCTATGTCCTTCTCATCAACAAAGCTAAAACAAAATTTCCTGTCATATGGAAGTATCTCTCTCCCAGTATTACTACTGCTATGATCGTCTTTGGCTTGCTCTAGATTCGACAAGACACTGCCATCAAAGGTGATCTAGCAGTCTTTAAAATATTTAGTTTGTTTTAGTGCAATATAATTTATTATAACTAACAGCTGTATGAATAAAAAAGTATTCTATAGAACAATAAGGTTACTTTATTTACTGATTTTGTCATTGATTATAGGAAATAAATAAGATTCTATAACCATTGCTGTACACGAATCGAAGCTCATGAATCTTCAAAAGAAATCTTATGAAAGTTATTTTACTACTCAACTTTTTGAGGAAAGGTTGGAAAAATAACAATGATCACATGGTTTAATTCATCCTGGCAGATTTTTCTTTACTATAAATTTTGAATTGCTTAAACTATGCTTGAATTAGTAATTTTTTTCCTAGGACGCTAGGCACGAGCCTGGGATTGTTTTTCACATTACTTCAGGCTAGACCTAGGGGTTGCGGCATTATCACTTAGATAAAATCCATTGTTGACTTGGCGGGGATCGAACCCGGGACCTCTGGGACTGAAGTCCCGTGCTCTAACCACTACGCCAGCTCGCTCCCCTGAATTATTAATAGACACTCTATATACAGTTTTAAAGGACTACTCGATTCCCGTACGTAGGACGGGCCAAAAGCTCGTAATTATTACTTAACCAATTATTTTTCTTCACTTTCAATAAAATAAATTAATCTCTCTATTATAGAAATTAAAAAATCATAAGTAGTCAGGACCAGTGCAACCATGCGACCAGGGTATATTTATGCCGATTATACCCAGAAGTAAAATCTTTGACTATCAATACAACAACTTCTGTATCCAATAGTCAATGGTAAAATGCTATTAGTGACCTTATGAAATTTTGTTTAACACATTTTATCATCATTTTACTATCCTTACAGGGTAATAATTGAAAAAAAAAAAAACATCTCAATATTCTCTAACTTTAATAAAAAACTATAAATACCCGTTTTTTGGGTATTAACCCAGGCCTGGGGTAAATACCCAATTTACATTTACCTACCCACTGGGTATTTACCCGGCCCACATCATTACTTACAAATATTTATTCTCTGAACATATTTATAAAAGATTATTTTCTACTTTTTAGTGTGTTTAAAAACGTGGCATTTCTAAAAAAATATTTTTATTTATAAATTATTAGTTCTCATGGCTTACTTATGATAAAGGTTGTTTACAAGCTAATGGGAGAAAGTATGTGTCAGATTGCTGATACTGTTTTTTTTTTTTTTTTAGAATTTGTAACCATCACAGTTTAATAACACAACGTTTTTCTCCAGCTTACCCTGAAGATGGACAGCTGGTCCGCCAACAACTCTCAAAGTTGACTCAACATTTAAGACCTTACTCACTGAGTGGAGAAGAGACATTTGAAGTGATTTCTTCAGGTATATTTTTCATAGAAGAAGTCAACAGTATGTGTCATTATCAATTTAAAAAAGAAACCACTCAAGCTCTTAGTGAGTTTTCAAATGAGACTAAACCAAGGAAACTGAAAAAACCAAAGTCTTTTAGAAAACTAGAAATGTATATGTTAGATGAGAATTTTGATCAACAACACTACTGTTACAACTTTGCCCTGACTACCAAAAGCCACACAATTGAGCTGCTGTCACTAGAGTGTAAGTCAATTGATCTTGCACCAGAAGCCCAGGGGACATATAAAGTGAGCTGTTCAACAACGATAACTGAGTGGACCAACAAGAATGTGCATGAACCTGTGATACACTTCAGTAAGTATGTCATGTTTGGAGTGAAGTTTATGATTCCTCTAGCTGTTGATGGGAGAAATATAACCTTGAAGCCAGACACCAAGTACTCTGTCAAGATGATGGTGAAAGGATATCACAATCAATTTCGCTGTAGAGTAGTAGAGCCCAAAATTGAAACAAAACACTTAATTCTAAGTATAGGCAAACAAGGTGATTGGTACGAACTTCCTTCAGACAGGTTATGGTACAGAACCACATCAGAGGAATAATGTCACTCTAGAAAAAAATACTATGGAGTTGTTGTGGTTTGAATTCCACTTAAGTGTGTGTGCCAAAAATGTAATTTTATTCTATTTGAATTTCACCCTGAGCGAATATTCTTTTTGTAAAATTATTCTAATCCAAATTTAAATTTTTAATACATGCAAATTTGGTTAAAATGTTAAAATTAAGATATGGGCATACAGTCTTGAGTGGCAAAGGACAATAAAGCAATTTTCAACAGATTTTAAGTTTTATCTACGTTGTTGGCGTGCTGTGGTAGAAGAGGAATGTAAAGAATCCTTTATTTAGGTGAATTAAAATCACTTATCTTTATTTGTTGTGCATTATATACCAATTCAAAGACACCTTTTGAAATAAAAAATATTTAAAACTGCAACTGAAAATGATTCATTTAACCTGTTGAACCATTCAAGAATTGTTAAACAAATCCTACTTAATATTATAAACTAGTTAACCGCCCGTGCTCCGCCACGGGAATATTGTCAGCAATAAAAGAAATAATAATTAACAAATACCTACTGTTTATCTTTGTATTTTATTTAGGGGTTGTTTAATTTTTTACATGAAATAGAACTGATAGTTTGCCTGTATAAACTATTTTATGTTAATCAAACCGATATATTATTTTAACCAAATGAATGTTTTATATTAATTCGAGTTTCATTTGAAAAATAAATAGTATACGAACTGGGCAATGCTGATAACCTAATAAGCAGCTATTTATGCTATTTAGATATTTTGCTCAAGTATATTCCTATATTCGTCGTTTTTTTTCCTTACATTTGTTGTATGGAATAAAGATAGTCACTTAGCCTACATGTAAATCACGCATCAGCAGTTGGTCGCATTTCACGAATCTTTGACCCATACTGTGAGTAAAAGCTGTGTTTACGTCGTACCGGTATATATAAAGTTGGGCATACTTTGTTCAATGTTAGATGGTATTAACGGTCCAATTTGATGGAAAAGGAGTCGTGGATATTAAAACTATGTAGACTACCACTACCAGAAAACTATCGACCCCAATAAAAATACCCCCGCCGCAGCAAACCTGCAGACTAAGCGAATTTCAACTTGTCTGATTACATTTTTACTCAAATATTTCCATAAATAAGACATATTTATTCCCTATTTAAATACGAGTAACATTAGATTTAACAAGTGCTTAGGTTTGCTGCTACGGGGAAGGTAAATAGTGTTTTTTGACCATACGTGAATAGGATGGGATGAAATAAATAAATTTGCAAAATTTTATCAATATATATCCATAAACAAGTAAACTACAACAATTTTTATTATCTCCATAAGAATAACATGGGAATTTTAAATTAAACTATTTTTGAATTTTCTCCGTGACCCTTAGGCATACAACAGCGCTTCAATATACTAAATTTTTTCTTTTTTTAAGCTCTACAAAACGGTTTGGAAAGAAATGGCAAAATTATTTGTTTTTAGGGTAAAAAATGGGAAAAACACATTTTTACCCCATAAAACCCCCCCTAAACCCCTGTTCCCATGGTCCGATTATGCTGGATCGCGAACTCGTTCGAATAAACGTAGGTTTACACGTTTGTACCAAATTTCATCAAAATCGGATCATTTTTGCTCAAGTTATCGCGCTAACGGACACATATATATCTTACTAATATTATAAATGTGAAAGTTTGTGTGTTTGTTTGTTTGTTTGTTTGTTTGAAGTTCAATCACGCAATAACTACTGGACGGATTGGGCTGAAATTTGACACGATGATAGCTCACATTCCCGATTAACATATAGGCATATTCTTATCTCAAAAATCCTTTCGGGCTCCGCCCCAGTGGCTCTGTAATTCCCCATATTAACCTTATGAGTATTCATGTTATTTAATGGGAATTATAGAATTTTGTCAGCTGTTTCAACTAAAAAAGTTGGTTCTATGATATGCAAAAGCATTAAAAAGTTAAAAGATTTGCCAACAGGGTGCAGCACTATTTTTTTTTTTCATTTATGAAAACAGTTAATTTGAACTAAGCAGCAACAAAAAGCTGTGATACGAAATGAAAACTGTCAATGTAGGATTGTTTACAGTTTTTCATGTTTTTAATTTAATGAACAATTTGTGATATTTTGCGAATTTAAAAAAATTAATTTTTCTCTATTGTTTAGGTGAAGTGGTAGAAGGTTATGGCTTTGGTAGATGTATAATATGAATAATGAATAATGAATAATGAAGTTTATTTCCCACAAAAAACCACAATGTAACAATACATGAGATGCAGAGAAATAGAACTGGCTACTTGATCCAGTAGTGTAACCAGTTTGCTTATACTTATAGGCTAACATGACGTTGTAATTTATGGTCTAGCATCTGATATAAAACATTGAATTCCGCCTGAACTGTGCATCTGATGGACAAAACAAGAACTGTTTTAATAAACAATGAAAGTTATTACAACAGGATATTATTTATATAATTTATGTCCTGCTGAGAAGAAAGCCAAATTATCGTTGCTTTGCTAAACTGCTTTAAATTTAAACTATTCTTTATTTGAAGTGGTAGATAATTATAGTATTTTGGACCTAGATATTGAAAAGAGTGACGAAAAATAGCTTTATTTACTTTGGGTAGTTTCAGAGTATTATTGGTAATGCTTCTTGTTATGTATGTGTGTGTAATATTTGGTATGACGTTAACTCTGTTTCCACTTCGAACAAAAAACAGTCTAAGAACTTTGAAAACAAAAAGGTGCTGTATGGGCAAAATTTTTAACTGTTGGTAGAGTGGAAATGAACTTGTTCTTTTAGGTTGTTTCAAAATTATCCGCATAAAAAAGTTTTGTGTTGTTCTTAATCTATTTATCAAGGTTTTATAAGTTCCTCCCCAGCATGGCAAGGCATATTGCAATCTTGAGTTGATTAGTGCAAAGTATAATGTTCTCAAAAGTGATTCGTTACAAAAATTTCTTAAAAAATAAAATTTTCTTATTTGTGTTCGTATCTTAGCATGTAGATTTAATATATGAGGTTCGAAGGTGACTTTTTCATCGAGTAGAACTCCTAAATATTTTATAGATTTTACTTTTTCTAACGGCTGGCAATTACATAGTTGTGGACTGCAATTTGAGGAGTGAAAAATTAAAGGAGATGGCAATTCAAAACCGGTTGAGTGGAAATTAACAAATTTGGTTTTGTTTACATTTACCTGCATTCTATTGATCAAACACCAATTTCTTAAAAGTAAAAGATCATCGTTTATTAAATTTTCCATCAACATCAAATCGTTTTGTGTGTAAAAAAGAGCAATGTCATCAGCAAAAGCAAAGATATTTCCGTTAAAAGGTAGATTTAATAAATCGTTGATGAAAACTAAAAATAAAATACCTGAGGTCGTTGACCCTTGGGGCACACCCGTTTGTACAATGAGAGGATTACTGTAGTCATTGTTTATTTTTACTTGTTGCCTCCTATTTGTGATGAAACTCTTAAACCACTCAAAAGCTGTACCTCTTATTCCTACGTTTTGCAATTTATTTAAAAGAATGTTGTGATTTACCATGTCAAAAGCTTTTTTAAAATCAATAAATAGACCTGTTGTTTTCAGTTTTGAGTTTAATCCTTGGAAGATGTGATCGGTTACTGCCAATAAAGCACTTTCTGTTGACCTGCCTTTAATAAAACCAAACTGCTTATTACTGAAAAAATGTGTTTTATTTAAAAAATTTTCAATTCTAATCATCATGAGCTTCTCGAGTATTTTAGAAAAAACTGAAAGTAAGCTAATGGGTCTGAGATTTTCTAAATTAAAAGAATTATTTTTTTTCAAAATGGGTACAACTAAACTTAATTTGAGTGTCTCTGGAAAAATACCTTTGTTGAAACTCATATTAAATATGTATTCTAAAACAAGAGATATTTCGTCAATTATATGTTTAAGTAAACTAACACTGATGCCATCAAAGCCAGTAGATTTTTTGTTCTTTAAATTACTAACAACTGACTTTATTTCCTGCACTGTAGTTGGTGCTATAAAAAACGTTTGTGGACAGATGTACATAGGAGGTAGAATTGCTGCAGGGAAAGTGATTGGTTGTCCAGCCTGTATTGAGACAAGGTGGTTGTTTATTTCCTGGGCGATAAGGCCAGGCTCTGTTATCAGTGTCCCATCGTTTAGCTCAATCCTATCAATGTTCTTATCTTTTACATTTCCAGTCAAGTTATTAATAATTTTCCATTGTTGGGCAATATTACCATTACATTCTTCAAGTTTATTTGAATAATATAAGTTTTTTGCTGTGTCAATGTCAACTTTTAAATTGTCTGTAAATCTTTTGAAATAGGTGTTGAAAGCAGTGTCATATGGTCTTTTTTTGGAAAGTATATAAAGCTTTCTTCTCCTTTTTATTCGATTAAAAATGTTTCTTGTAATCCAAGGACTCGATAACTTTGCTTTCCTCAGTTTAGAGTCAACATGAACAGTTTTATTACTAGTATTAACAACGTTCATTAATTTTTCATAAAAAATACTAAAACAATTGTTTACATCTAATTCAGAATAAATATCTTCCCAGTTAGTATTCTTAAGCTTAGTTTTTACAAGATCAAAATCAAGTATTTGTTTCTTAAGGTTTATGTTATCATCACATGTGTTTACAGTTTTTGTATTGGACAAATATCTAAATTTAAGACCTAGAACACAATGGTCAGTAATACCTAAATCAAATACTCCACTGGAAAACTGTTGCATATATCTATTTCT